AACAAAAAATCTAACAATATTAACTAATATCCAATGAACTAATTAAACACAATATTTGATAGTTTAAATTTCCAAAAAAAAAAAAAAAATTCATAAAATATATAAATTTAATATCAAAAAATATATAAAAAATAATAATATTATATAAGTTTCACTTATCACTGCTTGATCTACCCATTGTAAGAAGAAAAATGTTAAAGTGATTTGAAGCATAGAATGGAGGAAAGGAGAGCAAGAACTACTTGCTGCCAGAAGAGGAAAATCAAAGTGAAAGGAGGAAGACCAAATGAGAAGGGAAGGGGGGTTCGGCAGGTAAGAGAGCAACCTTACCGATGAGATCCACATTGCTACCATTTAAAGCTGATCATCTCTGCATGGCTTCATGGTGCTAGTTGACCGAGCAGCGGTTGGAAACATACATTACCAACGGGAATCTTGTCGGTAAATTGGAGAAAAAGCTGCAAAACCAGGCACCAGCAGCAGGATTCACTGGATGGGTTGGGTAATGTGCAATCACCGACAAGAATCACATAGGCAAATTGAAGAAAAAGCTGCAAAACCAGGCGCCTGTAGCCGGAATCACGGCGGTGGGTTGGGGATTATGAAGTTACCGACAGGAACAAGGTCGGTATATTTACCGAGAATACTCTTGCTGCAAATTATTCAGATTACAGGCTTTTTCTTCGTCGGTAATTGGGGTATTTGTCTGCGAGCCACCGGAGTGAGTATTGTAGGATATTGCCGCAAGGGACGTGTGTATGGTATAAATTTACCGACAAAGATTTTGTCTTAATCTTAAATAATATAAATTACTCTTATTTTAACTAGTTTCCATCGTTGCAGACTTGTTTCTTGTCAGTAAGATGCTGATTTACCGACCAAAAATCTTACATCGGTGATTTTTGATCGGTGAAATTGTGAAATTGGGTTTTCTAGTAGTGAACTTCTTGAACTATTAGAGCTGAAATCCTGTTACATGATCTTAGTGAAGACTCAAGAATACAGTTTTGCCTATGTAAGCCCCTTCACTCTTTTTCAAAATCCAAGCAAAGAAAATATAATACAAACTCAATTAGCAAATATGGATCCCATCTTCCTCTACGGTCTTACCCTTTTGTCTCTCTTTCTTTCAATCTTCCTCTTCTACTCCAAAAAATATCTCTTAACGAGGCAGTGGGGCCGCCCTGAGAAGTTCTTGTATGACAGAATGGCCAGGTACTCTTCACAGTTCTTCAAAACTTCAATATATTGTTTGAGCCTAAGACAGTCCTCTGTGGGTCAGCAGGGAACAAATTCTTTTTCTCCAACGAGAATAAGCTTGTCACCTCTTGGTCGCCAGATTCCGTTAACAAGATCTGCCCTTCTTCCACTCAAACAAGCTCTAAGGAGGAATCGAAAGTGTTGAGGCAAATGCTGCCCACCTTTCTCAAACCAGAAGCCTTGCAGATGTACATAGGCATGATGGATGCTATTGTACAGAGGAACTTTGAGGCCAATTGGGATGGGGAGCAACAAGTAAAGGTTTTTCCTCTGGCAAAAAGATACACTTTCTGGGTTGCTTGCAAAGGTTTTTTGAGCATAGAGGAGCCAGACCATGTTGCCAAACTAGCCAGCCCTTTCAATGCTCTGGCTTCTGCAATCCTCTCTATTCCTATAGACCTGCCAGGTATACGCCTCTCCGGTGTGGCATCAAGGCTTCAGGCTTGATCAGAAAGGATCTTATGGCAATCATCAAGCGAAGGAAGATTGATCTTGCTGAGAACAGAGCATCTCCAATGCAAGACATTCTGTCTCACATGATGTCATTTACCGATGAAAATGGACGGTAAATGAATGAATTGATCATAGCAAATAGGATTGTAGGCTTGCTCATAGCTGGCCATGACACTGCAAGTGCCGCCATCACGTTCATTGTCAAGTATCTCGCCCAGCTTCCTCACATCTACAACGAAGTTTTCTAGGGTAATTTGATTAATATCTAAGCTTCTTAATTTTTCCTATTTGAACGCTCTACTGATTCAAGTTTACGGCTCTGGCATAACAAATGGAGATTGCGAAATCGAAAAAACCAGGGAGCTGCTGAACTGTGAAGACATTCAAAAGATGAAGTATTCATGGAATGTTGCCTGTGAAGTTATGAGACTTGCCCCTCCACTTCAGGGTGCCTTTAGGGAAGCTATCAATGATGTCACCTTTGCCGGTTTCTCCATTCATAAAGGCTGGAAGGTAAGGCAACACACACACACATTTATATAGAAATCACCATCTCATGCGTACTGCTGAATTGATTTTCGAAATCTATTCAGTTACACTAGAACGTGAATTCGACACATGGGAACCCAGATTGCTTCTCCGAACCTGAAAATTTTGATCCTAAAAGGTTTGAAGGGAGTGGACCAGCTCCTTACACATTTGTCCCTTTCGGAGGAGGGCCAAGAACGTGCCCTGGGAAAGAGGATGCGCATTTGGAGACACTTGTGTTCATGCATCATGTGATCATGAGACACAAGTGGGAGAAGCTGCTTCCTTGGGAGAAGATTGTGTGGATCCTTTGCCAATGCTAGTGAAAGGGCTTCCTGTTCGCCTACTTCCTCAAAATGCCTAGACTGCTTTATAAGCAGCAACAGTGATTGCATTTACCCACTTTGGGCACTTCCGGGGTATAGTAGACGGATCCTTAATTTTGATTTCAAAATAATAACTTTAAAATTATTTCAAAAAAATGTTATTATTTTTTAGAAATATACTTAATTTTTTATATCAGTTTATAAAATCTTAGTTCAATGGTAGTAAGAATACAGAAGTCTTAGAGTGAAGTTCGTTTCGATTCAGTGATGTAAACCTTGAGTTAGGGTTGTTCACAT